GTAAGTAGGTTCAAATTAACTCAGTGTTTACCAAAATTGACATTAAAAAAAAATTCGCATGAGAACACCCAAGTGCTTCCACACTGAAATATTTCCCATCTACAAACCCCATCACCAAACCCCGGGATGACTCGAGGGTAGCCAGAATTGTCCCCTGCCATACGGAAACCTCAGCACCACTCTGCTCAACCCTTGAGCGGTTGCAAACGGTCAAGAATGATGGTGCCACCTTACACATCATCTCCCAGGCTGCTTTTGGGAGGCCTGGCCTGCGAGCAGGTTTCGGTAACGCACGTGTACAGATGTAAGACACATGGATTTCAACCGCGTCTCAGGATGGATCACCCTGTGCCGCATCTGGCTCCATGACTCCCTTTTAAAGAGCAAATATAAGTTGCCAACATCCTCATGAAGGACAAGCCCAACAACTTAGCAGTTGCTTCTTTTTTTTTTTTTTCCTGAATTTTTTGAAAACCTCATCGAATCCCAACGGGATTTTGGGGTTTTGTTTTAATGGCGAGGCAAGAATTTGCTGATCCTCCCCGTGGCGAAGTTACTTTCAAGTCAGTGAAAGTTCTTGGCCCGCGATGAAAAGTCTTTGCCAATTAGCGCTCAACAACTTCAATTCATCCCTCCTGGTTCAAGATGAGTAGGAACCTAATAAGGCTGCGATAAAAGGGCAAAAGGCACCGAGTACCCAAAGGGGATTAATGGGCTCTTCCATTTATTTGTCTTCCTAACAGCTGAACTGTTACAAGTATTGACGGTCTTCAAACGGGCGCCGGGGTCTCCAATGGCCATCTCCAGCTCCCCGGCCCCGAGGGGTGAGGGCTTCCCCCTGGGCGATGCCAAAACCAACAAAGCCCCAGGGATCAGGTAATGAAACTTCAGCGCTTTCCCCCCACCCGCTCCTCCTCCTCCTCTCTTTGAGATTTATTTACTGGCAGCTGACAAGGGGCAAATTCAGCTGGAATTGTGTAGTCAAGGCCCTGTCAAGCCTTCAGAGGCACCCTTATGTCGAATCACCTTCCTGACTGGCATGTCACTGAAAAGCCCTCGGCGCTGGTCCTTAACAGCTCCCGACAGCACAAAGGACACTCCAGACAGATGCCTACATGGCATCCTGCAGCATTTTAAAAGAGAATTAGTGGTTTTAATTATGGTCGTCGTATGAAAGGAAACCATGCAAGCTCGGCAGGAGACCTTTGATCAAACCCTTTTGCTAGCACAATGCCGCGGAACTGTGACTATTCCTAGCAAGGGGCCTTTTCTCGCTGAATGACTCACCAGTGATCTTTGAATGCAGACAAGTTCCTCGCCCTCCCTCTTCATTAGCGAGCATTTCTATACAGGCCCTATATAGTGCGCGGAGTCTCGGCGCTATACAATGCAGGGGGGGAAAAAAAGAATCCCTACAGATTCTGGCCTCTACTTAGGAAGTGCTGAAGGACTCTGAGTGACTTTATTCATTAAAACAGGTTGCTATTAATTAACTGTCATAATAAAATAAAGAACTATTATTTGCATTTCTTAGTGCGCTCCCTTTAGTAATATGTATAAAAGATGCTTGTAACAAAAATGAATTTATAAGAGAGGGAAAAAACCCCTCAGAAGTCTTTCCCCCACCCCCCTTTATTATTATTTTTTTTTAAGGTCTAGGCAGCAGGAGCCTGACTAATTATTAGGACCAGTTTTGCAAGAGAACAAATAGAGGTAAAACACAAATATGAAAGTAATTAGGAAAATGCAAAATCCTGTTTACTTGGCAACTGATTCATGCAACTGAGACTAACGAAGAGCAAATCAGCTTTGCTTGTTTGATAAACTTAAGGGTGCCACCTAAGAGGAGCTGATAAAAATGAAACTTCTGCCAGCATCCCTCAGCACCGCTGAGCATCATTCATCATCCTCTGTTCATCCACGCAACTGCTTTGCCTACGAGCACCAGCAAACCTCATTTGAACAGGTTCAGGGGGAGGAATTTCATGTATTCCATCTCTGTTCCATATTTTCATCTTTGCCATCAGTGATATCTCGGAGATGGACACTCGTATCACCTGCGCACACGATTCACACGGGCGCAGCGCACATGGACCATGCGACCAGTTCTGCTTTGCTCCCTAAAAAAACATCACGTTTCCACTGCTCATCACACCTGGGAAGGTTTTGGCCGGTGGGAAAGTTCTCCTTGGTGTTTGTGTCGCTGCTTATTACAATATATGATGATACGTTACTCCATGCGGGCTGCAGGCTGGGGTGCCTTTGTCCAGCCCCTCTTTTCTCCCAAGTAGATAGTGGAATCCACAAAAGCTTCCAATTATTTCAAGACTACACAGCTAAGGAGGGGCATCTAATCAAGATAAAGAAAACCCTCAGCTAAGTATATTTGCTTGAATGGATTTTCAATAACGCAGGTAACAAAAGCATTCAAAAATTGGATTCCTGATGCTTTTCTACTAGGCTGAAGGACTGATTTTGAGAAGGGAGAAGAAAGCCAGCCCTGAGAAAGCTGCACGGAGGAATGTATGATATTCCCCCGCTCTGTACCAACACTTCTGCAGGGACTGAGAAAAAGGAAGAGATTTAAGTGACGGTCGACCTGAAATGTAGTCAGTTACAACACAAAGAGTTAAAAAGACACCCCTGAACCACTGCTCTCCTCTCTGCTTTGGCTTTGCAATCCCGAAGCCGTAGCTTTATCTTTTTTCTTTTTATTCCAAATTTCTCATCCGCTGTATGTTTGTCTGGGAATTGTTTATAGAAATAACAGGGGGAATTGCTATGGGAAATGTACTATACAAATGAATCAGAACAAGAGGGAGAAAAATAAAGGATGTTATTTTGCAACGGGAGTTAAGAGATTCCTAGACGGCAGCTTGCTTTTTTGGGAGGTAACATTCAGGGAAAGTCAACCTGGGAGAATTCTCTCTTGGAGAGAACAACAACAAAGTATTCTAGACTTTACAAGGGATCTATTAGGATTAGCAGCCACACGAGCCTAAACCTGTCCCTAGGTGAGCCTCAAACCACGGACTGACAGAGCATCCACATGCAACACCCCTCGCTCCTGCGCACATCCCGATCTGCTCCTCCAAGCCACTGGGAAGCTTCCGTAGGTGCCACTTGATAACATCATCTTTACAGAAGGTACTTCTTTAAGTATTTTTCTAGTCCAAATGAAATCCTGGACTGGCAGCAATCTCTCTCCTATAAAAATGCTGGGCTGAGATCATAGAATCATATCACGGAATGGTTTGGGTTGGAAGGGACCTTCAAGATCATCTAGTTCCAACCTCCCTGCCATGGGCAGGGACACCTTCCACTACACCAGGTTGCTCAAAGCCTCATCCAACCTGGCCTTGAACACTTCCAGGGATGAGGCAGCTACAACTTCTCTGGCAACCTGTTCCAGTGCCTCACCACCCTCACAGTGAAGAAATTCTTTCTTAGATCTCATCTAAATCTCCCGTCTTTTAGTTTAAAGCCATCACCCCTTCTCCTATCATTACCTGCCCTTGACCAAAGCCCCTCTCCAGCTTTTTTGTAGCCCCTTTAGGTACTGGAAGGCTGCTAGAAGGTGTCCCTGGAGCCTTCTCTTCTCCAGGCTGAACAACCTCAACTCTCTCAGCCTGTCTTCATAGCAGAGGTGCTCCAGCCCTCGGATCATCTTTGCAGCGTCCACTGGACCCGCTCCAACAGCTCCATGTCCTTCTGATGTTGGGGACTCCAGAGCTGAACGCAGTACTCCAGGGGGGGTCTCACAAGAGTAGAGAGACCTCACAGAACCACAGAACAAAGTATGAAAATGTGGACAAACACACCTTTCCACTAACAATACCAGAGTTCTGGGTCTGTTTTAAGCATTTGAAGGACAAGCTAATTGACAATCTTTTGAAAGACATACAATTTTATGTCATATTTCTCGAAAACACATAGCCGAGCTCTTGCTAACTGAGTTGCTTGACCTTTGGGGCAGACTGAAAAGCAGGATGGATTCACACTCTACTGTTTTGGTTAAAGCTCCTGACATCTCTAAAATTGCAGTTCTGGCATCCCTCGTACCTGCGAGGATGTGGCACAGTAGAAGAGTGTTACAGGCTCACACGGAAAGAGGTGACAGCACAGATGCCATGGGGACAGCAGTGTCCCCACGGAGCTGCTCTTGTGTCCCCAAGCAGGGCCTCAGTGGTCTCTCTGCCCCAGGCAGAGGCAGGGCAGGAGATACCACACTGCTGCCTACAGTCATGGTGTTCTGCAAGGGAAAACACACAAGTTGCTTGCTCACTATTGGAAAATTGGAGCAATAAAGTCTATCCCAGCATAAAATCCCAATCTAATATATATATAAAGCAAATCCCAAAATAACCGTTTCCGCAAAGCAAGGGAGGCAGAAGGAGCTGGCTTGGTCTCTACCCACCATCCCACACCAGGAGGACATTGTGTCTGCAGCACCCCGGGGCACAGGGACAGCCATGGAACAGCAGACAGTCACGCTCCCATGAAGGGCACTATCCCACATGCTTGTCCTGATGGAAACCAACCCAACCATCCTGCCCCTTGACCATAAGAACACGCAGAGACAGCACAGCTCAAGAAAAACGGCTGCAGAAAACCTCTTGGCTCAGTAACAGAAGAAACATTTAAAGGCTAAATACATTCTTTGCATCTAGAAAGGATGCTGCATTCATAGAAAAACCTAAACGCTCTTCACAGCACAACAGACTCCCCGGTTTCTTTTAAAAGAAAACTCTCCCTTCTGAAACCCAGCACTTTATTTAGTGATGAGCTTTTTTCCCCACACACAAAAAACCCACCAACAGTTCATTTGGCAACAGCAATCAAAGACCAAACAACAGTACGTTCCTGCGGAGACACGCACGCTCGATTTCCTCTCCGCTGCCGTTTCTGTCGCCTTTTTAAAACCGTTCTCACATTGTCAAGGACTAATTCAATTTTTAAGTCCTGCCTTCAAAATTTCAGCACTTCAGCAGGCGGGGGCACTACCCAGCTCGCCGCTTCAGATCTTCTTTCATTTTCTTTAGCCCCTGCAGCTCTTTCTTCAGGTGCTCCACAGCCTGCAGAATATCCTGCCCCTGGGGATCGTCCTCCGCTTTCTCGGTGTACAGGAGGAAATGCTTCACAGTTTCGGAGAGCAACGCTTCGGGATCTGCATCCATCCGACGGAGACGCAACATCCTCTCGCAGGCGATGGCGTAGTTTTTGTGCCAGTTCACCGGGTGATTTGGATGCGAGTTGACAATTTCTTTGTACGACTGTTAAAGGCACAAAAAGGAAAAAAAAAAACCACCGAGAGGTGGAGGGGGGGACACAAATTAATTGAATGAAGGGGACCAACAGCTCTTTACAGTGTTTCAAAACTGCCCATAAAGGAACAGATGCTATTTAGACGTCCAAGTGCAGAGTCGGAGCATTTCTGTAACGCGCTCCGTGTTTGCCATGCGATGTGCGATAGCGGGAATTAGAAATCCAAGGGGGGCTGAAACATTTCCCTTCCTACAGCAGCTGTTTGTTTAGAAACGTTACAGATGATGGCGATAACCCCACTGCACATTAGGGGCTTCCCCGAGAGAGGTGTTACACCAGGCTGGGGGAAAAAAAAAAAAAAGAGATTTAACTGCTGCGCCTGGAAAAACATTTACTCAGTATTTCAGGAGATCAGGACGTCTTCCACAGGACTTAAGTGGTCTGTTGACTTGAGCAGGAATATTCATAAGCTCAACAGCAGGCACGCGCCTGAGAACTTTGCAGAATAGCAAAAACCACAGCAAAACAGGCAAGAGTTGAAAGGAAACTATTTGCTGACTCTTTGCCGGGGTATGAAACGTTCTCCCTCTCTGCTGACACACACTGACCGTTCTGTGTATCTGTTGGCATCTCAGGCAGTCTGGTATTTCCAGACATACCTACGCCCGCTTACGGGGGTTATTCTTCGGTGTGAAACGCAGCAGAATTAATTTGCAGCGAGAAGACTGTCGGATTTTACACTTGCTGGCTCAGCTGCACGACTGTGTAATGACAGAGAGGACAAGTGCATACAGGGGACTTCAGGACAAGCAATCTCTTGGCATGGGCTTGGAGCCCAGCACAGACAACATAATTCCAGCAAAAGCAGGGTGTCGACTGGTTAGCTTTTGGCATCCTCCGTGACCAAGAGGGCAAGTAGGAACGGATAAAATCCCTGAACAAATCTCTTTGGATCTGCTGTGCTCCTAGTTTGGATGAATGAGGGAGGACGCAAATTACAGCATCACCAACCTATATGGAAATGGTGTTATTTCTATGGAATTGAGAAATTGGAGAGGAGAGGAGAGAGGAGAGAGGAGAGAGGAGAGAGGAGATGGCAGGGCAGGGAAGGGCAGGGAAGGGGATGGACACAGCAGGGATCATTCATAACCAAAACATATGACTTACATTGTACGCAAAGGTGTAAAGTTGTGACTTCACTTCTGCAGTCACACTGGCAGTTTCTGCGAGGTCAAATATAAAGAAAGCTGTTTTCATCCTAGAAAAACAAGAAAAACTTCCCTATAATAACTGCTTGATGTGACCAGCTCACATCACATGGTTATACACATCTTCACCATGTCCATACAGCTCTTTAACTGTATGGGACAGTACACCAGCTTCTCCATTTAAGTTGTCAGTGATACAAATTTGTCTCCACGATGTGTTTTCTCACCCTATGTCCAAACTACCCTCTGCTCCTTCAAGCTACTTTGAGCAGAACCTTTTGGTGAACAAAACCACCATTTTCCTGAAGGATCTGCTGGAGGCCATGCACCCTTCCTCCTCTTCTGCCAACCTTTTCCTTCCAAAGCTTGGCACATTTAGATCCAATAAGGCCATGCACCATCAAGCTGCCCAGTTTGGTGTGTGCTTCCACGCCAGTGAGTTGGCATCGCCCACCGGCTGTTGGAAGGGAACAAAGGAGCATCACCTGGCTTGCCACATCTCCTCGTTGGCGACAGCTTCCCAGGAAGAGGGCTTGAAACTAAATGGGAATGAGAATCAAATTCAGCCATCAGATCCACATCACCGTGTTTCACCCACCGCGCAACCAACCCTTTCAATCCAGGCAGCTCCAGACATCCCAGGCAGAAGAAAAGCCATCAGGAAGCCTTTGGCTCCAACAGCAGGGAATTCAGCTGATCCTCAACTTTATCTCTCTCCTTGCATAGGAGGAGCCCCTGGTAAATCAGATGTTTCACAGCATTCCAGGTATCCTCAAAGCAAGAGATGCTTTTAACCACCCATCACAGCTCAGTCTATGACATTTAAAGCTTTGGATGTCCCAAGTCCTCAACATTTTTTGGCTTCTGATCAAGTATTAAGACGGAAATTGGACCTATTATTTGACTAGAAATGTCCTCTGTATTTTTAACACTAATAAAAACAGCACATGTGGATTTATTGTACGTTCCAAACCACAAAACATTGTGATTATGGCTCATGTTTAATTTCTCCAGCACTGCAATGGCTGTGGTTATGCTGCCGGCAAAAGACTGATGAGCACAAAGGAGCAGAGTCGCCTCCGCCTCGTACCTGCCGTAGTCTTCAGTCCAGTTATAGAGATTTCTTGTACGACGAATCCACTCTCCTGGGTCAAAGACAACATTGGAAGGAACCAACTTTTCACACGTACCCCACGGCCAGAGCGAATAGCCCCTTCTCCAGGTCGAGTCCCCTTCGTGAAGACCTATGCAGACAAACACCTCCTTACTGCCAAAAAAAAACAACAGAGAGAGCAACCGTGAAGCCATGCCAGAGACCCTGGACCACCCTGTGTGCTTGAGCAAACCACACACCCCAGGCCAGGAGACAGGTCTTCAGCAGCACATTTTCTGCGGCACGGATACCTGTCCGGACCACATTTCCCATCGGAAAGGGAACGCCTCTGGGTCAGTCTGCAAACCAGTTCTACCGCCGCAAGCAAATACCCCACCTGGCATCGCACAGGAGACGCATCCTCTCCCTGATGTCGGACCCCACCAAGGTACCAGAAGCTGTCGGAGAAGCTCGTTTCTTCCCGACGGCACCCGGCAATGCTCTTCCGCCTACCCTCGCTCGCTGGGCTCACCCGGGCTAGTCTAAATGCAGATGCTATTCTTATTCATGTGAGTATCTAATCCTTTCTCCACTCTTACTAAGCTATTTTTATATGATGATTATTCCTGGAATACATTCATTCTATGCTAATCAGTTGGCCACAATGTTCACGAAGGAGAAGCAGCAGCAATTTGCTCTTCAACCATCGTCATTTTAAGTACACGGGAATGCTCCTTGCTTTGTGATGAAGAGTTATCAACAGCAACAACAAAATCAGTAAATGCTCTCTGCCGATCACCTTCTTATTTTCCCTTCCTAAAAACCAAACCAACCTCAAAACAACAAGCAGCATTATATCTGGATGGAGTTACTTCTGCATAGATATTTGCTTTAATTGCAAAAATAATCTCACCACCAGGGAGGAAGTCAGTGGAGAAAATTGGTCTTTTGGATGCAGTACCAAGCTGTTCCATAAACAATTTCAACAAAAAAAAAAAAAGGTCGAAGATTTTAGGAAAGCTGTTACATATGAAAGAAATGCTTACTGTTTATTTACTTTGAGGAAACGATGGAGATTAAAAGCAAGCGTCCCATCGGGTAATACTCCTTCCACAGGATTCCACCGGTTCCCAGGAAAATAAACACCAGGTAAATGCTTTGCCAGCTTGGGTAAATACCATTTGTAAGTCATCATCTATCACCGAAAATATAAGCCAAATTAAAACAAGAAACACAGTTATCATTCATTTTACATCCAGAAGCTGCAGAAAACGGTTTCTGCAGGAGGAACGACTTGATTTGCTCAGTAAGGTCACCTCCCATTTCAGCAAATGCCTGGGACCACACCAGCAGACCAGGTCACTGCTTTCTGATCAAGGTCCTCCTTCTCGAGGGGGCAAAGGAAACACAAAGCAACTACTGCTGGAAAGAGACATGATAAGGTTTTGGTTCAGTTAAATATGAGGCGTTGGATTTTGGGTTTCTCAACAAGTCACAAGCCCTTGCTGCAAAGCCAAGAGCAAGGACTGATGTGGCAGTGGAAGTGTTGGTGTTCCCTCTGCGAGGGGGGGTTTCCTTCTCCCATTTCTCAGGAAAAAAGGGAAGAGGGCAAACACCATCCAGGGACACACAGCACCTCCATTTCAATGTAAAAAAAACAGAGGTAGAAATCTGCAAAACCACCTTGGGGGGACCAAGATAACAGAGGATGCAGGGAACGAGCCTCAGTGTGGTAAAGTCACATTGCCCACGGGGCAACTGCTGCCCTGCTGCCCTTCACACTGCTCCCAGAAGCCTTCTGCTGCCCCAGCATCTGTATTTCAGGACAATCGCAGAAAACAGCAGGGACAAAGCTTCCTCAGCACAGCAAACATCAGCCCTGTGCCACATCTGGGTATCTGCCGTGATGAGGAACTTGAGCTTCCCCTTCTCTCTACCAGCCATTGCCTCCCTGTTGGCTTTTTGGGCTTGAACGGGGCTTGCACACTATGCTCCATGCCAGAGCCACCCACAACCCTTTAAAGAAACCCTCAATGTTACTTCTGCATCATGAGTTTTATTTGAACAAAGAGACCCCTCCAGAAGAGAAAGGAAAAACTGAACTTATGCTTCCCATTTTTAAATCTGCCTGTTGCCACTTTTTATACTACTTTCTCAACCTACCTCCTGGTCCACTAAGGTGATATCTGGCCTCATCCCTTCGCAGTAATGAACATAACGAAGAGCGTTCCCAGGTAAGTCTCCTCTTAGTAAGATCACGGCACCCGTCGGCATAGAGGACAGCAGATTCCTTGCAAACTTATCGACAACATAGTTGTTGCTCTGGTCACAAGTGCTTAAGAAAACAGATAAAAACCAGTATCTTAAAAACAGGTATTTGCATGGCTTTGAGTATCTTCAGAACAATTTTATGCAACAGGCATTGACAGGTGAAGTCCTTCACCCTTGTCAGATCTTGCTGAAAAGCATCATCTCCATTTACAGAGAAACCAAGCTACAGAAATTAAGCATTTAGAGTACAGTCCCCTAGAGAGCAGCATCAGAGACATGAGCCACTACAGTTTTGCCAAAATAGACACTCATTGCATGCCTTCACCTTAATTCTGGCTTTTTCTTCATAGAATCCTAGAACGGTTTAGGTTGAAAGGGGCCTCAAAGATCATCTAGTTCCAACCCCCCTGCCACGGGTAGGGACACCTTCCACTACACCAGGTTGCTCAAAGCCTTATCCAACCTGGCCTTGAACACCTCCAGGGATGGGGCAGCCACAGCTGCTCGGGGCAACCTGTTCCAGTGCCTCACCACCCTCAGAGTGAAAAATTTCTTCCTTAGATCTCATCTAAGTCTCCCCTCTTTCACTTTAAAGCCATCAGCCCTTGTACTATCACTACACGCCCTTATCCAAAGTCCCTCTCCAGCTCTCTTGTAGGCCCCCTTTAGGTACTGGAAGGCTGCTATAAGATCTCCCCTGAGCCTCCTCTTCTCCAGGCTGAATCTGAAGACTTACTAGTTGGAGCTGGAATTGCCAGTACAACAACAATTCTGAAAAGCATTTGAACTTCTCCGCATCCTTTTAATGCTTTTAATTAAGCACTAAAGCCCAAGTTTTTGTAGCATCAGGCAGAAGTAGATTTACATCACCTGAGATCGAATCCTTTTTGTTACACAATCATGTGTGGCACACACTTTATGTATGGCCTCAAGAAGAGGACACTCCATGACGCAGCTGAGGACATGAGGTATAACTGGCTCACCTATCGAGCAGCCTTTGGGAATAGATGTGTGCAAAGGAAGGATTCCCCAGTATGAAGTTCTGCATGTTCTACACTTCACTAGTTGGTCAACCTCTACTTGAGCATCCCTACTACTACACTGCTTCCTAGCCAAGCCACCGCAGAGTCTTTGCTGTGGTTACGGGCTAAGGAAGCCCTACACTACAGGTGTAACTCTTCAAAAAGGAAAAAAAAAAAAAAAAGAAAAAATCCAGGGCACAAGGTTTCCTGAAGCAAAGCAAGGGAAGGAGGTGACCGTTTAGGTTAAACGATTCTGCAAACCTTCTTAGCAAATGAAGCATAGATTTACGAGTTTCTTTAAACAGAAGTTCAGGTATCTCAAGTTTTCTTCCTT